CCGTCCGCCTAATCCCGAGCAACGAATCGAGTCTTCGTGTCACGCCCGCCCTGCCTGACATTTTTGGACAATATTTCGTGTTCTGCCATCGCCCTTCCAGATAGGGACGAAGGTGATATCAGGCTCGGCGCTTCAGAAGTGGCGTCCTTCCTATCCAGGAATGTTTCACGGTCCCTATGTCGAAATTGGGTCAGTGACCTCTCTATCGGTCTTTTGGGACATCGCGTGAACCCCCCTTGCGTCGAGGTAGCCCAAAAACTCCGTTCTCCGAGTCTTGCCGCAAAACTTAATTGGGCTTCTGAAGTGTATAAAGTGCAGCGCAGGGCTGATTCTTGATCTGTGAAGAATCGTTTCCGACAGGTATCCCCACGAAACGGGGTCAAGGGAGGATAAGGGCAATGCCATCACCATTTCAATATCGCAGGACAACGCAGCATCCCCCGCAAGATTTCACGGCTCCACGGAATTTCGAATGCCATTCTGCTCTTTTGAAGGGTATTTGATCCGTTGAGGACAAGATGAACCATGTTTCAGCGGCTGTGCTTTCTTCTCGAGCAGGAAATCAACGAAGGAGCATTCTTACTCCCTTCAAGACCTAAACCTGCAGGGAGAATGTTTGCAGTTTTTAGAAAATCCACCATCACGCTCCGGACATTGAATAAGAAACGAAATCTACTTGGGCGAATGACGAAGCAAGGGTCAGCATGGGAAACGCACTCCCCTATTACCTTTTAGGCGGCAATACCAACGCCTTTCATGCCGAGTTGGGCAGATGATTGATGACACCTAGTGTGATATCGCGCATCACGCGTTGTCTTCTCACTCACCAGTGAGAAGGGGGGTTCGAGAATCTCAGTCCTACAGGATGGATCATTTTGGCAGTCTATTAATGCCAGAAGGGTTAAAGACCAAAGGTGAAATCATGCCCACGCCCCAGGAAGCAAGAGAGATGAGGCCATCGAGCGGGCAAGAGTATGATATGCCAAGGAGAATCAAAGAACCTCGTCCTCTTCAGATTATTGTTGGCGCAAAATTTGACCGCGAGTAAAGGAGATCAGGGACAACTGGTAATAGGTGTCACTCTCTCATGCGAGTCAGTCACCTATTCACGACCAAGTTAGTCCATGGAGATCACGAAAGTGGTGAAGGTCATACCTGAGAACTCTCGCGGCGCAGGATCGTCTGTCCAATCGCGGACACCAAGTTCTCTTCTTGCAAGAGACGCGGGCCACCCTCGAGAAGCCCGAGGCTCCAGTTTTGCGTAGCAATCAAGCCACTCTACCTACCTATGTACTGACTACGACGCTGGAGTGGGTGATTCAGGTGTGTCCAGCAAGGTTTGGGACGTAACCGAATGCACATCGCAGCGATTGCGAACTTGGTACCTGTAGGCGGTCGGTCGGGATGACGGAGAATCCTCCATCCGTGGGACAGCCTACTTCCAAGAATAGCTCAAGAGCTCCCTTGCCAGACGTTAGCAAGGAAATACGACAACCAAACAATGAGAGAACCGCCTTCATCCCGGCGCCCTTCCAATACCACGCCTACTCCTTAATTCGTTTCTTTTTCTTCTTGTTTCCAATATACATCTTATCCCTTCGCTTTTTTATTCAATTTGAATTTGTACTTTTAAAAGAAACATTTTTGCAGTGCGCAACAGCCTGAATAATGGGGGTTAAAGATCACCAGCCAAGAGAACTATCTTCTCGTAAAGGTTAGTTAGCATCTTGTCTTCACAAGAACCAAAACGGAGATATTGATGATGAGCATTTCTCAGTTCAGTCTTTGGAAAATCCCGTCGAGTGGCAGAGAAACAAACAGGTGGAAGTACTTCGTACTTCATGATTGTATGGTTCAAGAGATCCCTCAAGAATCCGCCGCGATGCAATGCAACGTTTACATCCCAGAAAATACCCGGCTCGCGTCCCCCGACCTATGGCCGTTTTACCGCGATGTAATGCGGTGCTTCATTAACTATGATCAATTGGACCTGGGACCGGGGAGGCACCAGACACACCCGTCCGAGGCACGCCAGGTTACAACATATTAACAATTGATATAGTTTGCTCAGCTCAGACCCAGCACTAGGCAGGCCTTTGGCCATACGAGGTAACTTCCCATTCTGTGGTTGAAAAGGAACACCGGCGGGGTATCACCGCCAGCCGTCTGGCGCCAAAAGACCTCGCCAGAAACTTGGGGGCCGGCGGGTGAATTCTAGTCGCCTTTGGAGAGGGAGGTGTGGACGGAGGGATTGAGGTTGGTCGTGAAGAGGACCGGTCCGCTGGTCTCCGACGTTTCTCTCGACCCGAAAAAGGCTCGTTTTCCGGATCCAAGAAGACAAGAACATAAATACCAGCGTTCAATGGCCATATACCAAAAGCTTGAAACATCGGATCAGAGAAGAATCGACGCCAGAGGGTAACAGCAACTTGCAGGCAATTTGGTCTTCGGTTAATCCAGAGACGGTGCACTGGCAGGCCCATGAAACCAAAAGCCTTGGTCTCGCTGGTATTACAATCCACTTCTTGGTCCTCCGTCCCACCGGCAATCAGCTCTCGGTGACCCAAATAAGAGGCAATTCTACGGATCCCTCACGATGGCGGCCAGTCGGGATATGTACGCAGTGACGAGCCTTACTCATCCCCTGTCACATCTGATCCAGACAAATCGGCAAATGGACCTTGTCGAATGACGTATCCTCGGCCTGGCGATTTTCAGCGAGTTCGTCTACCCAATCTGCTCCTACGTCTTTCCTTCCGTACCCGCTAACAATCTGAGCCAGGTGAAGACAACGGAAAACGGAACAGGCTGTGGGGGAAGGGAGGGAGGGGTAAGGAGTAATAAAGAGAGGAACGGATGAAGTCGATTTTGGCATCTACTGGTGGTGTTAGACCTGGTTCCATCTTCCAATCACGGAACTGGCTAAACCAGCCAAAAGACCAAAAAAAAAAAGTCCACCAAATATAAAACACCGAGTCGTCATACATAGCCGATTCCAGCCTACCCAGTTACGCCCTTCTTTTTCTTCGGGCCATGGTGGACGTTGCCGCCACCCGAAGCGGGTAAAAGAGAATGAGGCGTGGGCCCATTTCGACAGGTTGAAGACCGAGAGGGATGGAAGCATTGGGGTTTGGGGTTTGATTGAGGCAATCCGATTATGGGCAACCCCATTGGACTTTGCGCCAACCTTAAAACGTCGGATAGAGTTGGGTTCTGGGATGGATTAATCAATTTGATGATGACGATTGACTCGGCGTCATCGTGGTTGGCAGCGGATCGACAGCTCCGCTTGTCCAGTGCTGGAGTCGGACTCTCTCTCCTCGTTCCAACTTTCTTTCCCTGTCCGTCCCAGCAGGGCTCGATGTTCACCACTGATGGGCTCACTTGGTCGATCTGAAACGAAGGAAACGGAGATCATGTTCCTTCACGCTGAGAAACGCATGATTGGATCTACCAATGGTTCGTAGGTGGCTAGAATCCGTGCTGGCATTGACGTCTATACAGATATGGCTCTATTTCTCACGACTCAAATCCTTCATGTGGCAGGCACATCTCTCCAGCCAAACTCTCGGAGCTGGGAAGTCTCTGCGCCTGCCTCAGACCAGCGGCCCATCCCTAATAGGAGGAGGGGAGGACGGCTTTAACCAAAGTCAACTCGATATTTGGATGTGTGTACTTCTCTCCATTCACTCCGATCAACTATCTGCAGGCATCCAGTTTCGTAACGGTACCTTGCACCCTTCAAGTCGAGATGCTCTCGCACGTCAAATCAAATTAAGCATCACACCCATCCATCTTCTCACCACATCTCACCCTCCAATACATACAGATGCCCGCCGTGCCGCTGTACCTGATGAAAACTGGTAACTCTAATTCTCTAATCCTCGATGCCAAGTATGTGAAGGAACAGCCAGCCCGACCCACGTCGTACCCTCCGTCAATTCCAGCCCGTCCCTGTCCCTCAGCCATGCGGCATGCGGCATGCGGGGGAGGTGATGCGTGGATTCTTTCGAGTATTCATTCATATTTATCTTCACTTTCTTGCCCCGTGCGCCTGTTCATGTCTTTTATTCTCGGTTTCCTTGGGTCCGGTCAATTCTTCGCATCATGGATCCAACCAGGCGTGTGATCATTTATTCCCGTGCCTTGACGATGTCGCCTCGGGATCTGTTATTAAATAAAATAGAATAACTTCACATCAACCGACATGGCCTTACTGGAAACCCCACAACTGGAGGCAAGTAACAGAGAGAGGGTGCATGCGGAGGAGCAGGAGGAGGAGGAGGAGGAGAGGGGAAATAGTAGAGATGTCAATTGTGGGCGTACACTCATACACACTCATTGATGCTACCCCAATATCCCAATTCGAGGCGGCATGGGTAAGCGTACTGCATGATGGATGTGATTGTGGATATCCGGGAGCGCAATATATTGATCTGTTAAAACAGCAAAGACGTGTTAATACAGAAAACCCGGGGGCAAAGATGTGGTATTTCCGGTATAGTAGGAAACGAAGCCTCGTCATCTTCCAGCCAAGTAGAGCTGTGACCGTTCGTTCGCTACAAGACTCCGCCCATCCCCTTTCAGAGATATCTCTGGGTGTTCTACAACTGGTTTTAATAGAAACGAGGCCGAGCATCCCTATTACACGAGAAGTCGGGGTCTTTGGAGTGTTCCGTGGCTTTCATGGCCGGACTGGACTTCTTCGCCACCATTAACAACAAACACGATCCGATCATTTAACCGACGTGCGCCTTTTCTTCTTTAGCCCCCGTGAAACTCGATTCTACAAGAGAGGGGAGGTTAGGCTCTTTCTTTCTTCTTGTTCCTTTTTTTCCCCCTTTGTTTTTATATCTGGCGATGGTTGTTTCTTAACGACTCCCTCGGAGTAAACCGCGACTTCACCCAAAAGGCCTGGCCTCGCGGCTCTCCCCAAACCGGCATAATCCTCTCAATTCACGGACAATTCAAAGGATAGAAGGGCGGAAGAAGGCGGCGCCATGGCGGACAACACGACGGTCGACGTGACGGACGTCCCCGACGAATACATCGGCCAGTCAGTGGTACCATGCGCCGTGATATCCACCGCCGTTGCCGCCGCGTTTGTCGGTCTCAGATTCTACACAAGGGGTATAATATTACGGAGGTTAGGTTTGGAAGATTGGTTCATACTCGTGTCACTTGTGAGTTTGTCTGATGGCGAGCGAAGTAGATTGGTGGGACTCTAACAAGGTGTAGGTTTGGGTGATTGGGTCTATGGCTGGGACAATCGCAAGTAAGTCTGGTCCCATGTAAGTGGACGTCGGAGCTGGGGACTAACACGATATACTCTTCATCAGTGGTGGAGGCAGGATTAGGACGACACAAGCAGTATCTCTCTACCAAACAGTTTGAAACATATCTCCAAGTAAGTCGAGAGTATCCTTGTTATTAAGGACCCAACCCACTAACACTCACTTCTTCCCTTTCCAGGCGAATCTATTCAGCTCCATCCTCTACGTCGCCTCCCTCACCTTCACCAAGCTCTCTATCCTCTGCCTCTACCTCCGCATCCTCACCTACGAGCGCACGCAGCTCGCCACCAAAGTCCTCATCGCCACTGTCACCATCTCCCACACTTATATTCTCACCAACCTCTTCGTCTCCTGTGTCCCACTCAAGGCCTTTTGGGACTACTCCATCCGAAAGAACTCCTATTGCCATGATTCGTCCATATACTGGTCTAACTATATCCTACACATCGCGACCGATTTCTTAATCTTCTTGCTTCCCCTCCCCGTCATTTCGAAGCTGAGGATACCAAAGAAGCAAAAGTTTGGCCTCCTTGCCGTCTTCCTCCTTGCGTTCGGGTAAGTCAAGTTTCCTCCACATCCGGAATATCACCACGACCACCCCCAATCCCTGTCTTCCCCCAACAAGTATAATTTCATTTGCTGTTTCCTTAGTTCCCTTCTCTTACACGCACTCCTAACCCCACAGAGTCTGCGCCGTCTCCGTCCTCCGAATGGTCCTTTTCCTCGACTCCAACGGCCCGGACCGCCCCAACCGCGGCGACATCACCTTCACGACCATCAGCATGGCTAACTGGTCCATGATCGAAATCTGCGCCTCCATAGTCTGCGCCTGCATGCCGACACTAAAACCCCTCATCATGCGTATCGTGCCAAACTTCTCCCGATCGAGCTCCCCCGCGACGGACTGGCATGACGACGTGGCCGTCATGGCTGGATACGAGAGGCCGCTGACGGTCGGGACGAGACCGAGTAGGAAGAACAGATTGCTGTCGGCGCGAGATCTCTTGAATTCTAGGACTACGACAAGCGATAGGGTTCCTCCCATTATGGGTGGGGGATTGGATGGGGCCGAGAGAGCAGGTGTTACTCTCGGTGCAAGGAGGTTTAGTTGCGGGACTTGCTCTGATGGGGCGAGTTTGCAAAAGGCAAAGGTGAGAGAGGAGGAATACGCGATGGAAGACCTGTCGCCCGTGGAAAGGGACGATTTGGAGGCGTATCGCGCGGGGATGCAGTCGCCTGCCGAGAGCGAGAGGCCGCTGAGGCCAAGTGCTTCGGACACGAGGTCCGTCTATGAGCAGCAGCGTCGGTGATCTGGTGTCGACAGCGGAGGTTTTGGAATGATGTTTATGATATGAGGATGCATCGGTTTTGAGCGTTTCTGTTTTGTTCCTTTATCCACTGTCATAACTGGGGTTGGTTTCGGTGTTTTCTCTCTCTCATGGGGCTGAATCCGGCGTCGAAAGGAGCATGGGTTTTTGTCGTTTTTGAACATCACAACAGTCGGATGAAAGCTTGGAAAGCAGTTTCCGTACGTCTTTTTCTCACTTCTTTGTATTCTAACACAATTTTGATTCATCATGCTGGGTGGCATAGCTCACCAGGTCGAATTTCAGAGTCATTACGGAGACTGCCCTTGAGGTTTAAAGCCTGTGCTATCTTAAGTTCGCAGCTCAGCACCAACAATAAGGGATTGTAATTGTTACATCAACCCTGGGTGCAAATGTTAGATATCTGTTGTGGGCAATAAATGTCGTGAATCGGAGCAAAAGACTTCAGTTGCATTCATAGTACCAGTACATATACACCAGATGAAAGGACGTTGCTCCCATACTGCCCCTGTCCTCTCCTGGCATCCCAGTTCATAATTCGGCAGCCTCCACAACTCCTACTAGACGCCTGTTTTTGTTTTGAATATTGCATCGAAATAAGGTGCGATGCGATCAACAATCTAGTTTGTCTAGGGGCGGTCGATTACATTAGCATCCCACAAAAGAAAGATCCAAGAGGCAAGAGAATGATTGAGGACGACTTACTGGATGCTGGAACACCCATTTCCTCCCACATGCTGACCTGGCCTGAGGACGAGTTCCTCGGCGATGAGTCTATCATCAGAATTCTTCCCGTGTAGCATGCGTAGTAGCTCATAATGTCCTCGACGCGATATCCCCTTCTTGTTTTCCCCTGTCTTCCTAATCGCTTATGCGATGAGGTCTGCGACGTTCATTGGCATCTCATCGATCTGGGTGGAGTAGTACACTGTGTCGAGAATGTCAGCTTTCCAAGCATCTCAGACAAGCAAAATTATTTCCAAAGACACTTACACTCAATGTCGCGAAGGATCCTAACATCTTCGGTAGTAACAAAGTTGATAGCAACACCCTTGCGACCGAACCGACCGCTACGACCAATACGATGGATGTAGTTCTCTCGATTGCTCGGCAAGTCATAGTTGATAACCAAACTGACCTGCTGGACATCGATACCACGCGCCCAAACGTCGGTCGAAATCAGCACCCTACTGTCTCCGCGTCTGAAATCGTTCATAATACTGTCACGTTCCTTTTGAGGCATCTCTCCGTGCATGCTGCTAACGGTGAAGTTGGCTTCGCGCATCTTCTCCGTCAGCCAATCGACCTTGCGGCGCGTGTTGCAGAAGATGACGGCCTGCGTGATGGTAAGGGTATCGTAGAGATCGCAAAGGGTATCAAACTTCCAGTCCTCCTTCTCGACGGCGATGAAATATTGCTTCAAGCCCTCAAGGGTCAACTCGTCACGCTTGACCAGGATACGAACGGGATCCGTCATGAACTTGGTCGTCATGTCGAGCACATCGTAAGGAAGTGTGGCGCTGACTACCACGACCTGAGTGGCGGGAGGGAGATAGCGGTAGACGTCGTAGATCTGTTCGCGGAAGCCACGGTTAAGGAGCTCGTCTGCCTCGTCAAGGACGAGCATCTTGATGTGGCGCGTACGAAGATGACGGCGGCGAATCATGTCGGCGACGCGACCGGGGGTCCCAGAAACGATGTGCTGGCCGTAGTCGAGCTTCCGGATATCTTCGCCAACGTTGGTACCGCCGATGCAGGCATGGCACTGCACGTTCATGTAGTCGCCAAGGGCCATGACGACGGACTGGATCTGGGTGGCAAGTTCGCGTGTCGGGGAGAGGACGAGAGCCTGAGTTTCGCGAACGGCGGTATCGATGACCTGAAGCATACTGATCGAGAAAGTCGCCGTTTTACCCGTACCGGATTGGGCCTGGGCGATAGTATCGCGACCTTTGCAAATCTGGACGATTGCTCGAGACTGGACTGCAGAGGGCGTCTCGTAGCCGTACGCATAGATACCTCGGAGGAGATTCTCTGAACAATGGATTAGCTTTGGTGGAGTCACAATGTTAAGAGGTTAGGATAGCAGGTCACATACCCTTCAGGGACATGGCCTCAAAGGTAGGGTGGACGGTAACCTCCTTGGAGGTGGTGAACTCCATGCGCTCATCAGCCTTGCGGTCAATGCCGCCGGAACCAGCTCCCTCTGCCATGTTTACGTTTAGGGAAAAATTCGCCGGATGAGGGTGAAGCCGATGGTCTATTTTGGGATCTCGTCGATAAAAACCGTGGTGATCGAAGGGGATGGATGGGTTATATTGATGCTTTCGAATGCGACGTGCCGAGATTGGCGGAAGCGAGAAGTAGTTCGAGCGCAGAAAAAAAAGAAGGCGAAGAAAAAAAATCAATACAAGATGATTTCGCCGTAGCGCGTGCACCTTCTCTCTCTGGGGCGAAGCCTTGCGCAGTTCCAGAAGCGCAGCTACAGTATTTAGGAACTAATTATACGCACTGTATACTTAACTTGGAGCAGCTCTGGTTCACATTTGAGAAGGCGCGACAGCGATTTTTCCAAAACCCTCCACCACATTTTCCAGTTTGCCACGACCAACCATGTTTTTAGAAGACGAGCGCTACATTCACGAGGACCTCGAACGCCTCGAGCAGGCCATATCCGATCGGATCGGAGATGAACCCAAGCACATACGCGACCGATTAAACAAGGATCACGAGATCGCGCAGCTCTTAGACCAGATCAAGAGCCAGTCCACCACATTGCTCAAGCTCTACCGCGACGAAGACGGTGCTCTAACAAACGAGATACAACGGATAGGAAGCGGCGATCCGTTCGAAGAGTTCTACCGCGAGGTGACGGCCATTCGCGATCACCATGCTCGATACCCGAACGAGCAGGCTGAGAACACTGAGCTGCGTTACCGCGCGAAGAGGACAGCGGATGGGGAGTTGATACCCTATGTTATAGATTCTCTCTTCTCCGGAGAGGAGGCTTTCGGCCGCTTCTTCGATCTCCACGGGTGTCACGATTCGTACCTCAACCTACCAAATGTCAAACGTCTCAGCTATCTGCAGTACCTCGAGGTGTTTGATAATTTTGCCGTTGGCGCGGGGGGCATAAAGAGGGACGACAAGTTGACGGACCAATACTTCAGATACCTCGGAGAGCTAGCAGATTACCTCGAGTCGTTCATGCGCCGCATTCGACCCCTGGAGAACGTTGATAAGGTCATAGCCGACTTCGATAAGGAGTTTGATGAGGCGTGGGAGAAGGACGAGCTAGAGGGGTGGCAGAATAAGGTCAACGGGGCGACGAATGGATCGAACCACCCAACCAGCACGGAAGAAGCCATCTACTGTGAAGACTGCGAGAAGGAGTTCAAGAACGAAAATGTCTACAAGAGCCATTTGACGGGGAGGAAACACATCAAGGCGGCAGAGAGGCGCGCACAAAGAAAGAAGGAAGAGGAGCAAGAGACAAAGACTAATGGTGCAGGTGGTATTTCGGCGAGGAGGCTGAAAGAAAAAGCAGTCGCCGAACGAGAATATCGAATCAAGCGCCTGGCGTCGGCCATGTCGACAGAGCGCGGCGATACTAGGGTCAACGTCGAGCGCAAGCAGGGCATGACGGAAAGAGAGCGACAACAGGAGTTGGAGAACCTCATGAACATGACCGACCGCCCTCAGCAGGCCGCGGCGCCGGAAGAGGGCGAGGAGGAGGACGGCGAGGAGAGGATTTACAACCCCCTCAAGCTACCGCTGGCTTGGGACGGCAAGCCTATCCCCTTCTGGCTGTATCGACTGCATGGTCTTGGCGTCGAGTTCCCCTGCGAGATTTGCGGAAACTTCGTCTACATGGGACGCAGGGCATTCGACAAGCACTTCAACGAGGCGCGTCACGTTTACGGCCTGAGGTGTCTTGGCATTACGAACACCACGCTTTTCCGAGACATATCAAACATCGACCAGGCGCTGAGGCTCTGGGAGAAGATACAGAAGGAAGAAAAGAGGAACAAGGTGGACGAGGGCAGTGTGGTACAGATGGAGGATGCCGAGGGCAATGTGATGCCGGAGAAGGTGTACTATGACTTGCAGAAGCAGGGTCTCCTGTAGAATGTCTCGATTTAGTAACTTGGGTCTGGAGTTTGGTATTACAAGTAGGGTTTAAGGTAGATGATTGGAGTTTTCTTTCTACGTCAATCGAAAACAGCAGCCTTAACCTGACGGACCGATTCATTTGAGTCCAGACCAGTCCAGTGCATCCACTTGCTCCATTCTCGATTCCATAAGTTCTTAATTGCTCTATTCTGGCCTCCAAGTCCGAGGAGCTTCCCTCCTTTCTTCTCCCCAATCGTTCTGATTCTGACGACAACATCACCCTGCTGGCAATGCCACGTTTACCTACTTCGGTTGCGTCCTTGTCCTCGACGCCGCCGCAAGACGATGAGGCCCCGATAATGCGATTTGGGAATGCCAAAGAGCTCTTCGAGCAGATTGACTCTACTCCCGGCGATATGCTCATCGTCACGCCTACGCAACCGGATTTGATACATTATTTGAATTTCATATTAATGGCTTTAGATGTTACTCCACAGGTCTTTGCCGAGATCGAGAGAACGCGAGATAATCGCCAGCGGAGATTTCCTTTTCATTATTACGCCAACAGGAGAATGCTCGTTATAGCAATTCCGAACCTTTGCCATGTACAACTCCATGGTGAGCTTTATATGCCGTTTTCCAGCATGGTTTGCGATATGAGCCTCAGAGCGCATTGGAAAATGATGGGCATGGCTACGCATCGAGCAGGAAGTGATAGCGGTGAGGGAGATTCATCGGGAGGTCCCATACCGGATCGTAATCACCTGCATGGCTGGCCGACACTGGTCATCGAGTCTGGACTCGGGATCACTGGCACAGTTACGAACTGGTATGGACTGGTGGTTTTCTGCATCGAACCACGATGTCAAAGTTGTGATTCTGGCGAAATTATACCTCCGGCGTCGTGAAATTATCATAGAAAGGTGGGAAGAAGAACCACCAACTCCTGAGAGGCCGGGGGCGACAACAACACGAGCCGCTGCTGTGTCACGGCCTGTCCGGCGGCAGGAAATCCTGATCATCCAAAACCCTACGGATCCAAGATTGTATGATTTCGTTAACACCCCATTAATATTGCCATTTAGACTTCTCTTCCTGAGAGGCCCGGATCTGGCTGCGGGGGAAGGGGACTTTGTAATGGGAATTCCCGAGTTGCAGCACTATGCAGAGCGCGTCTGGCAGGGAATGGAAGACTAGGTGACAGATCAATGGGATGAGTTAGATTTCCTCCAATGTGTCTAGAGAGTTGCGTGGTTGATGAGGAGAGACCATTCCCGGGTCATAGAAGTAGCAAAATCAACGTCTTCCAAAAGAACAACGACAGCGCAGTGAGCCACAGTGAGATAGTGCGTGTGTAGGATTAATAGACTACTATTTAATGTTTAACACGGTTTGTATGCCTCCTACGCTATGAATACTTGTTCAAGATGGTATTAACTACCCGAATGTTCTCCCGCCAGAAGCTCTGCATCTCGTCCTGGGGTAAGTCTTTTGGTCTCCACTCGGGCTTCATGAACAGGCCAAACCGAAACCACTCGAGGAACACCCGCGTCGCCTCGCTCTGATTCCACTTCTTCCAGTCAGGGATAGACCCCCAAAATGCCTCGCGGAGTTCATCGGCGCCATTGTACTCCGGGCCAAATCCATTCTCGGCGGGTTTACGGAAAAGCATCTCAATAACTCGGTAGAGCGACGCATATGGCGCACTGGCTACAAATTCCCAGTCGATGATCGCTCGTATCTCGGAGTATGTCCCGCTGGACACGATGACGTTGTGCGGGCCCAAGTCTGCGTGCACGGCGACGATGGGTATATCCTCGACGACGGCGGGAATAATCTGCAGGCGATTCTCGACAAAGTCCCTAATACGATCTAGGAACTTCTCTTTATATTCCTCGATACCTTGCTGCTTTTCGAGGGCGGTGAGTGATGACCTGATATACGCCCGGAGGTACTCGCGTACAGAAGAAAACGGACCACCGAGGCTATAGTGTCGATCGGGCCCGATCCTGAGAACAGTCCGGCCATTAATGTCATCGGCAATAAGCTCGCCGATCAGATGGGGTTCTGGGAGTTGGATTCGCCAGCAGGCCTGGAATGCGAGGGCCATTTTCCGCACAAAGACGAGTCTCTCCCCATGTGACAATCGAGGATACACTGATGATGCCATTGTGCCTGGTATGAACTGGGCTATTTGCCGGCCCATACCCGTGGCCTCTTGCCGTCTCATCTCTCCTGGTATTGGATACACGGCGGGGACAGGTAAGATGCTAGGGTCGATCGTTCTCGAAATCAAGGCCATGAGCGCATCCATAGAGGCTACACGGCCGTGGTGACGTAGCTGAATAACATATGCGACATCTTGGCTCTCGCGGACCGTGACCTTGTACGAGATACTCAGCGCACCGTCGGTGAATCTCGTCGACGAGGCTAAATGTCGACCGGTTGCTGCAAGAATAGCCTCAGCAAGCTCCGTTTCAGAGAGCTCGATGGGCTCCGGGGGCGAGATTTCCTTGGATCGCCTATCAATGTTGATGCGGTATCGGAGAATGGGCGCGGTAGACTCGAAGTCCTCTAATGCTGCCGACCAGGAGAAGGAGGTAGGAGTCGATTCGATCACTGCATAGGCTACACCTTTGCCTTTCGGAGAACCTATTGCGCCAGAGAACACGTAGGCTAAGAGTGCCGACACGGCTTCACCTTGTGTCATGAGCTCTTCAGACATGATTGGGGTTTCACTGAATATACCAGGACCGATTCATTGAAGCCTCGAGCGGTTCTTTTGAGGTTCGGGTGTACTTCGGACTACATGTGATGAAGTACTCCTTGTCCAAGAAAGCTGCGGAAGCCGACACCCACTTTGCAATATCTACGGATTTTTTTACTTACTACAGCTGTCTACTTGGGAGGAGTAGCTCTGTCTCTCTCCACCCTCCATCTCCCTCTCTTCTTTTCTTTCTCTCTTTCTTTTTTTTTTTTTTTTTTTTTTTTTTTTTCTGGCTTGCGCTGCCAGCCAACTTTTATACGATCACTTCGGTAGCTCAAGATCAAAAAGATCAAGCCGTCGTTACCCTCTAGGCTGGCCAGACACAAAATAAGT